TATATATATCAATAGTTTTCCTACAATCTGAAGTAGAGGGTTTAAACAGCTTAAATACTGCACAAAATTGCTTTTAATAGTCACCATGATTATATTACATGATTCAGGATATAACCAGTGGATTACAGCAATGGTTCTAGTACTTCAGGTGACCAGTGTGTATAGGAATTTTTTTTTGCTTTTTTTTAATGAACCAAGGTCTGGGCTTTTGTGTGTTTTTTGGTTGATTGTTTATTTGGGGGAGGGTATGCAACTAAAGAGTGTTTTACAGCTGCACAACATAAACACATAGATATGCAAACACACATGCAGATACACACACAATCCCTGGCAGGGGTAGGGTGGGGCTTGTGAGCTCTGAGTTCATCCATGAGCCTCTTGCATCAAGCAATTATGTTTTTAGGAGCATAAGTGCATTGTTTCTTATGCATTCATTGATGAATAGAAGCTCATATTTGATTAAAAGTATATATATATTATTATTATTAACATCAAAGAAAGACAAGGATTGCAACTCCAGTGTACAGTTCCAAGACTATACTTGTGACATTTTAAAAAAAATGTTTTTTTTTATTTAGAAAAGATGGCAAAGGACATGTTTACTCAGTTTAGTAGGTATTAGGTTTTTTTTTTTTCAAATCCTTCTGTTCTGAAATGACTATACAGTTTGCAGTTGTTTACAAAATATAAGTCATTCATCGGTGTGAAATAGTTTTTATTTCCTTTCTATATTTCCTCATATTGGGAAAAAATACATTTGGTCTCCAAGCAAAATATAGCCCATTTTGCTGAGTTATTTGTGAGTTCTTATAAATTGTGTTTAATATCGCCAGAACAGAGGTGTGGAATAGTTGCAAGATTAGCAATGCGCATGTAATATAGAGTGGCTTCTCGGGTCATTGCAGTGTGTTTGGTGTACTAACTATCATGATTTTATCTTATCCTTGTTTAATCACCACACAGAAAGTGAGCCTTCCCCTGTATTGTTCCATTCATATTCCTCTGTATTCATTCAGAAGTCTGACACTTCCTTTGCCTCACAGATTAAAGCAGCAGTGTGGGAGCTTTTGATGATGTGCAAAACAGCTTTCTTAGTCTAAGCTCCTTAGGCTATGCTAACCACTCAAGGATTCATTTGCCCTAAAATTAACCAGAAACTCGGTCTTGCTTTCCTTCCTGACAAGTTTTTAAATTGCTTAAAAGCTTAACGGTTTTCTGGTGGTTTTTTTGTTTGTTTGATTTGGTTTTGGTTTTTCGGTCTCTTATTTTTAATGTTGATCAGAAGGGACAAGGAAATATGGAAACAAAAAAAAAAAGGAAAGAAAATATATAAAACAATGAAAAACACAGAATTGTGCTTGTTCTTTCTGTGATTATCAATAGGTGTTAAGTTGTGATGTTGATCCTTCAGTTATGTGGCTTATCTATCATTCCATTACATATTATTTTCTTCCTTATGGGAAAAGCAATGTTTATTATCACAGGTGACAAAACACAGAAGGGAGAAACAAGCAAGGAGGTTACATTGAATTGCCGTAAGTGGGTTTCATATTTGCTCTTTTGCATTTGTTCCCAAACCAGAAACCTGTAAACTGAGTGAGTGACAGAACAAATTGCCCTTCGGGTGCACATCGCTGAGATGGGCCAGGGAGAACAGGTGTTGAGCCAATGAAAAGATAAACATTAAGTCACTTTTGCTAATATGTAGCTAGATAACTAAAGAAGGACTTTTGAAATACCTGTGCACTACTGTTCAAATATTTACTACTTAAATCTGAGGAGGAAAAAATTTTGGTCAACTAATGTAGAATTCCTTGTTCTTTTCCATCTTTAATAGTGTCTCAAAGACCCAAGAGAAGGGATTAGTTTATCTAAGAAAGAAATATGAGTTTTGTTTATGGAGTTTCAGGTATACTTAATGTGGGCTTAATTAAGCAAAAACAATTTAGCAGCCTTGTGTTTGGCAAAACATTCTTTTATGTTTCATGACTGTTTATTTTAGGAGATGACTTGCCAGGCGGGCAGATTAGAATGTTTACTACGATGGTCTTTCATCCCTCGCTGCGTCTGTTAGCCGTTACCCATGCCGCAGTGGGTGTGGGGAGGTTATTAAACGTGAGCATGGTGATTTACAGAGGAAAAGGAAGTTAAGAGTTAAGCAGATATTGAGTGTACCGATATCCTTCCAAATATTTGAACCTGCATTGCTGAATACTTTTTTCTTATTTAGCATTATTATTTGCACATCTATGAATTTTAGAGGATCTTTAAAAAGCACAGCACAGTGACCCTCTTCGAAAAAAAAGAGAAACTTACTGGAGGATTTACACAGAAGCTTATAAAGATGTTGCTATTGACTTTTATATTACATTATCTATATTTGACAGGTTGTGTGGGTAAGTTTTTGTTGCTTTCTGTCTGATATGAAGAGACCTCTTTTATCAGTATGACCAGTAGAACTGAAAATATTTATTCATTTGTGTTTATGACTCAAGTAGTAATTTGGTCATTTTCCTCCCTAAAGGTAGGAGAGTTAATGAGAAACATAGATTAGGATCTATGATCTATTCTGAGATTAAAATAAGGTGCCCAACACAAAGTTTATGGCGAAATAGACTGAACTAGTAATTGTACTTCTCTGGGGGAAAGTGCTGAATGAGACTTGCCAACTTTTAATAGATTTTAGATGATTTTAAATAATCATATTCTCCACCATGTAAGCATCATGATAGAATGTCATTGTTGTGACATTTAACAATTAGTCTACTACTTACACAGTTTGTTAAACTTACTTTAGAATATCTATAGTTCGTGTAAAGAAAATCCCAGGGTCATTTGGGATAGTTCTCTTGTTTATATGTGAAAATTGTTATTTGTAAAAGGAAAACAGCTCTCAGTACCCTATTTTGATTATACTCTCTGTAGAAATTCTGAAACAGCGGAATTATCATAGCCTCCGAGAACAAGCTGTCAGTCTGGCTTGTCGTGGCATTTCTTGAGCAGAATCATCCCACGTGGGGACACATTCAAAGCTAGTCACTGGAGTTAAATCAGTCTGCAGTGCCTTCAGGGCACTTGGAAACTGTACCTCGTTTTTCACATGGCAAACCCTCAAGGGTAGAGCCCTGAGATTCTGAGAAACATAAGGTCTGCTTTATTTAATTTCCTCTCATTTACCAAGAGTCACAATCTATTTTCGTAAATAAATTCAGGAAATTGGTAAAACACTTGACTCCATCCGTTGCATATCAGACATTAACATGATTGTCACGTTTTTCCTGGCCCTGGTGCTCACAGCCTCCCTTACATGCCGGCAACTAGCTTAGGACTTGGGACGTCCCTGGTAATGGATGTTCATGAGCTTAAAATACTTAAACAAACAAAACAGCACATGAGTTTTAGAGCGAAGTGCACTTCCTCTACTTTGTTAGTAAAGACTTCTAACTTTCCAGATTTTCTGTATTGATTCTGGCATTCTTTTCAAATAATCTTTTTCACTTTTTACTCATGACTACCTTGATCTCTGAGATAGAATAAAAGAGTCAATTATCCATTCAAGATACCAGCAACCATCTCTCTCCAGCTCCGATTCTTTTTCCCTTTCTTTCTTTCTTTTTGGCTGTTAAAACCCAGCTGTCTAAATAGCTTTCATTGCTCACAAAGTACAACGAATTTTTTCCTACCTTCATCAGCCACTGAGTGTTGTTCTCCATGATGTTCTCCAGCACTTGCAGCCTCTGCACCGAGTCATCGTAATCTAGTGGTGCATCCCTCTGCACGGCATTGGACACGTAGGAGCTGGAGGAAGAGCGACAGTTGTCCATCTCTGGCAGGAGGAAAGTGTAGCTGCAGGATCCGTGCTGGACCTGATACTGCTTTTTTCCTATGCTGTCCATGCTTTTCCGAAAGTTGGTGTAGGCTGCGGCCAAGACAAGATCACAGCTCAAAGTAAAGAAAACAATCTGCCACATTCTTCCTTTCTTTGGGTAATAAACCACTAGTTTAGCAAACTTCAAGGCACGTGTGAGTCCAGAGTCTTAAGCTACTGTCTGAAACACAGAGCTATTCTGGCATAGCTGAGTCCATCAATGAAAGTCTTCTTTTTTCTCCTATCTCAGTAGCAAACTTGGTTTTTAATGCTGTCTTCTCTCTCCGGGCACGCAGTACACTGTCAGATTGCAGTGGGAAGAATAATCCTGCTCACTTGGGAGGGCTGTGTTAGCTTTACAGAGCAGCTTTCTTGCTTCTTTGTTTCTCTTTCCCCAGATCCTACAGTGTCAGTATCCGAATCAATCACTTTCCTTTCCTTATATGATAAGTTGATAAGAGCAGCCAGACATGTGTAGTTAGCTGCTCCGCCCTCCTGGCTTACCCGTTATCTTCCTGTAGGGGGGTCACTAGCCAGGCAACAGGAAAAATCAGAGCATAATGCTTGCTGTCCAACCGGGACTGTATACTGCAGAAACCCTCTGGGAAAAACTCATCAGTTACAGGACCCCTGGGCATTTCCTAGGCACCACCCTAATTAAGTATTTCCTAGAGAGAGCCGTTGGGCTCTTTTGTCTGAAACTGATTTCACAGTGCTAAGCTGGCAAAATATCTGAGGTAATAACTTTAATTTTAAAGTACAATGAAAGTTCCTGTTTTTTCCTTGAGGAATAAAAATACTACAAATATGTCAGGACTTCGGTTTATTTTTGTTATTACAAATAAAGAAGTTTGGCTCTTGTAAATTCTCTGCCTTTCCATAGAGAAAATAGTTTCATTGGGATCATTTAATTTTTGACCCATTAGTTAAGTTAGAATTTTCATTTTAAAACAGTTTGATAGAAAGATCTTGCTTCAATGAATCATGTTGGAAAGATCAGTTTCAGAGCTCGTACTTTTATTTCTTTTAAACAAAATATCCACCTCCGTATTCCAAATAAAATATATTGAACCAATTAATAGTTTATGAAATTGCAATAGAGAAATAGGAATTTAAGTCAGAAGATATTGAGAAAGGCATACATAAACTTCTTTATTATGTTGACATTTGCTCATATCTCATCATTTTGTAAAATATTATCTATTAAATTAGACCCACTTTGTGTTGGACTCAGGCAAATTACTTCCCCTTTTTAATCAAACTCTAATGCCCTTATCTGTAAAATTCAAGGGTTGTACTAACTTCCAAGATTGTTCTGTTTCAAGTCTATAGCTCTTTAAGTCCTGCAAGTTAGTTTCTTTTAAAACCAGAACCTGATACTTGAGGGATTAACCATATACTGACTTACTAGCCCAGATATACATAGGGGAAAAGCTCTCGAGCCTTTGCTATGATCTGTTTATATTTCAGTGTACAAGATTGATTATTCCCAGTGAGTGGTAAAATATCTGCTACTCTGACTTAATGGACCTCATCTACCCATGAAAGTCAAGTATGGGTCTGTATTACACAGGTCCAATTTTCAGAGGATTGAAGAATCATTATTTTAATTCACAGGTGGATGTGTAATTTGTACAGTGAATTTTGTTTTCCTGGAGGCAGTCTTCAAGAGTCCCAGTTCAACTTTTAAAAACTCCCATCCAGCTATTAGACTGACTCTTAAGTTATCTGTTGAGCTGAGATTCTTAACTTGAGATACATGGACAGGATTCTGGAGTCCATGAGCTTAGATAGAGAAAGAAAAAAGGTATTTTATATCTTTCTTTTTTCACTAGGTTCTAACTGAAATACGGCCTTCCTTTTATCTATGAACAGTTCATAATAGTTGTCCATTTCTATTACTTTCTCATCAATAGAATTCATGAATATTTTTATTATAACTATCTCAAGCTTTCACTTATCTCAGCGTTACATTGTCTAAACCTGTCCTAGAATCTTATTAAATATTTGAATAAAGGCACAGGGGGTCATCTTCTGAGAAGGGGTTGTAGACTTCACCAGACTACTAATAGGTCTATAGCACAGAAAAAGAAAAACTAGAACTCTTGCTTGCAAAGGGTCATGTTAGTAGAAGAGAAAGTTTATTCCACCGAGATTCCGGTACACAATTTTCACTAAGAGATCAAATTAAGGAAGATAATACCCATTCAGACAGTGAACCAGAGAGGAAGGCATATGGGTCTTGGGGATGACACCTGTATTGCAATCCTCATTCTTGGTGTCCTCATGCAACAGCTTAACTTCACTGAGCATTAGTTTACTTATAAAATGGATGTTATTCATTATCAGTGGACTTTTTAGTAGTAAGGTCATATGTAGTGGTAGGGGCTAGTGGGTGACATGGTGGTTAACGCACTGGATTCCCATATAGCCAACCACAGTTCAAGTACCGGACCTGGCGGCTTGAAAATTACGCAGGGTGCGTGTGCACATCAGCCCAAAATCCTGAGAGGAAAATGAAGAGAAAGAATTGTAGCATGACTATCCCCCTGGGGAGTTATTTCTCACTTTCACTCTCTCTGACAAGTGTATATGCCCTATAGCAAAAACCTTTTAAAAAATTTAAAAGATGATGTATAATAGTGTGATATTTAAGGCTACTAGTTCTTTATGGGCACTTTCCATTAAATGGAAATCAGTTTTTCCTTCATCAAATAGTAGAACTATGTTATTCTGTGATTAAATATGAAGCAGAGGCATAGATGCACATTTTTTCTTCTATTTTTTTAAAACTTTATTTTATACATTTCATCACTGTGTATCACTACAGCTTTTTCTCCTACTTTTATCTACTTCTCTACCTTTATTAAGACATAAAGTCTTAATACTGTTTTTGTGGCTTTAAAAATCATGCAGTTGTCTTTCAGGGAAATATAATGGTGTTAAAAAGGAGAAACAGGAAGAGGATATACTACAGTGTTTAATCTTGTCCACCAGTTTTTAATCAGACACACTACTGAGTCCATAGGCTACAAATTAATACAAGTGGGTTTCTGATCTGAAAAAGCTAATGATATATTGAGGGAGAGAGACCCATAAACATAGGAGGAAGATGATTTTGCTTCTGGGAGGAATGCCAGTCCCTCATACAGTTGACTAGGCACAGTTAATCTAATCCCCTCAAGACCAAACGTGGAAGGAACAAGTCTTTGTAAATTCCAAAATCGAAATTGTTAAAACTGGAGAGTTAAGAAAGTTCTAGTCAGACCAGAAGTCAGCAAAAGTTCCACAAGTAAATATTTTAGGCTCATTGAGCCATGCAATCTTTGTTGCAAGTGCTCAAAGATGCTGCCATAATGCAGAAGCAGCCTCTAGAGGCCCAGTGCCTGGGAGGACACCACTGTGCAATGGCTGAGGCCACACAAGGGCCCAAATTTGGTTCCTGGGCCAACCTAAACAGGCCAGGCACATCTGTGGTCCTACCTGACTGTGAGGCTGGGCAAGTAGGGATTGTAATATAATGAGACCTTGTCAGAAATACCTGTTTCAGCCAAACCTGGTGGCACAGTCATTAACAAACCAAATTATCATTCTGGAAGCCATATGACCAAGCACAGATTTGGATCCCAAGGTCAGTCTGAAACACACTGGGCACATGCATGTGTCCAGGATCCTAACAAGCCAGAGGGCTGGAGAAAGGAGTGGTGACCTGTAGAGGCTTCTGGGTTCTTCTCTGAGTCTCTCTCTCTCTCTCCCTCTTCTCATACACAAACACACTTTTTTTAAAAGAATTATTTTATTTAACTTTATTTGTTTATTTATTTATTTATTATTTAAATTTGACCAGAGAGGGACAGAGTGAGATAGAAAGAGAAAGTGAGAAAGCAAGCTACCAGGTCCAGGGCTCGAACCATGGTTGGCCATGTGGGAGTCCAGCACCCTTAGCTACCATGCCACCTTCTGGCCCCCAGTTCAACTTTTAAAAACTCCCATCCAGCTATTAGACTGACTCTTAAGTTATCTGTTGAGCTGAGATTCTTAACTTGAGATACATGGACAGGATTCTGGAGTCCATGAGCTTAGATAGAGAAAGAAAAAAGGTATTTTATATCTTTCTTTTTTCACTAGGTTCTAACTGAAATACGGCCTTCCTTTTATCTATGAACAGTTCATAATAGTTGTCCATTTCTATTACTTTCTCATCAATAGAATTCATGAATATTTTTATTATAACTATCTCAAGCTTTCACTTATCTCAGCGTTACATTGTCTAAACCTGTCCTAGAATCTTATTAAATATTTGAATAAAGGCACAGGGGGTCATCTTCTGAGAAGGGGTTGTAGACTTCACCAGACTACTAATAGGTCTATAGCACAGAAAAAGAAAAACTAGAACTCTTGCTTGCAAAGGGTCATGTTAGTAGAAGAGAAAGTTTATTCCACCGAGATTCCGGTACACAATTTTCACTAAGAGATCAAATTAAGGAAGATAATACCCATTCAGACAGTGAACCAGAGAGGAAGGCATATGGGTCTTGGGGATGACACCTGTATTGCAATCCTCATTCTTGGTGTCCTCATGCAACAGCTTAACTTCACTGAGCTTTAGTTTACTTATAAAATGGATGTTATTCATTATCAGTGGACTTTTTAGTAGTAAGGTCATATGTAGTGGTAGGGGCTAGTGGGTGACATGGTGGTTAACGCACTGGATTCCCATATAGCCAACCACAGTTCAAGTACCGGACCTGGCGGCTTGAAAATTACGCAGGGTGCGTGTGCACATCAGCCCAAAATCCTGAGAGGAAAATGAAGAGAAAGAATTGTAGCATGACTATCCCCCTGGGGAGTTATTTCTCACTTTCACTCTCTCTGACAAGTGTATATGCCCTATAGCAAAAACCTTTTAAAAAATTTAAAAGATGATGTATAATAGTGTGATATTTAAGGCTACTAGTTCTTTATGGGCACTTTCCATTAAATGGAAATCAGTTTTTCCTTCATCAAATAGTAGAACTATGTTATTCTGTGATTAAATATGAAGCAGAGGCATAGATGCACATTTTTTCTTCTATTTTTTTAAAACTTTATTTTATACATTTCATCACTGTGTATCACTACAGCTTTTTCTCCTACTTTTATCTACTTCTCTACCTTTATTAAGACATAAAGTCTTAATACTGTTTTTGTGGCTTTAAAAATCATGCAGTTGTCTTTCAGGGAAATATAATGGTGTTAAAAAGGAGAAACAGGAAGAGGATATACTACAGTGTTTAATCTTGTCCACCAGTTTTTAATCAGACACACTACTGAGTCCATAGGCTACAAATTAATACAAGTGGGTTTCTGATCTGAAAAAGCTAATGATATATTGAGGGAGAGAGACCCATAAACATAGGAGGAAGATGATTTTGCTTCTGGGAGGAATGCCAGTCCCTCATACAGTTGACTAGGCACAGTTAATCTAATCCCCTCAAGACCAAACGTGGAAGGAACAAGTCTTTGTAAATTCCAAAATCGAAATTGTTAAAACTGGAGAGTTAAGAAAGTTCTAGTCAGACCAGAAGTCAGCAAAAGTTCCACAAGTAAATATTTTAGGCTC